AAGACATAAAACATGACCTTTTGCTTCCACTTCACTACTTGGGTTAGTCACGCAGTGTTGGTGATGTTAGTAGGTCTGAGCTGTGCTGGAGAAAAGGCTGTGGCCTAAGGATACACAGAGTGTATCTGAAAGTCTATTTAAAATTGTCTGAAGGCAGCAGCCAGACCTCTGGTCCCCATGGAGCACCGTGAGTGAGGGACCCCTCTCCCTTCCGTCTGCTTCTGTTCTCAGACAGCCGCTGTGATACACTCACTTCTGTCCTTTGTCAGGGCGGTCTTGATAGCATCTATGGGGGCGGGGGTGTAGCTTCCATTACTGGGTGGTTGTTCGCCCCCCGGGATGAGTCAGGACCAGAAACAGTGACCTGTAGAAACTCTAGGGGACACACATGACCCTCCGTTGTGGCACAGGGCAACTCGTACAGAAAGCGTTGAGAAGAAGCTACCGGCCATCTCCCAGTCTCTGCTCCGTGTACTTGATGCTGGGGGTGGATGCTTCAGGACTGAATTCCTCTTTAATCAGCAAGGACATTTGTTGCAGTCAGGCCCCCAGAGTCCTCCCCGTGAGAACCGGGGCGTCATCTGTCCCCCTGCCTTCCACAGCCCTGGCCTGTGTGCTCACCCGGTTGCCAGCCTTGCTTGCACATCTTCCCGAGGTGCTGCGTGCCCCGTTTTCCAGCAGGTTAAATGCCTGTGTTCATATTAACCCCCTTTTGCTGACGATGTTTCCTGAATACAAAGACTAAAAGCCTTTTATGTTTGTTTTTGTTTGTTTGGTTTATTTTCTGGTATCTCTTTCAGCAAAACCCAGGTGGGACTCTTAAAAGGTTTTATGTGGGATTAGAAAGGACCTTTCCTTCAGCAAGGCCAAGTGTCGCAGCGGTTGGTAATTCATACCTTTTCCCTTTGTGTCCTTACACTGTTTCATTTTTAGTTCCTGAAAAATTTCTTTGACATTGTGCAATTAAGATAGATCATAGATTTGAGTCTTTTGAGTTGTGACATTTTAACCACTTGGCTTAGGAGATTTTTCACTAGAGAGTTTCCTTCCAATGATGAAGCCTACATGTGCAGTATTTTCTCAATGAGACTAAGAAAATGGACCAAACTTCCTTCACATCTAATCAAAGCAGAAGGAATTAATGTCTATTTTAAATGTGACGTAGGTTAAGTTCAGATCTTAAATGCCTGTAAGCCTCTTTTATATTTAATGAATCATTTTGTAGCATTTGCATAATTCTATACATTTTTGAAGTGTAGATAAAGCAAATGTTCCCACGTTTTATTATAATGCTCAGTTTACCCATTAGTTCAATAGTAATTAACTTGTTGAAGCTTAGAGCTTCAAAAATAAATGAGATTATTCGTTCAAAATGCCATCAGGTCTTCCTGGAATGACATTTAAATTATATAATGTAAATCCGTTTGACCTGTGAGTCCTTGTCATTATTTAGTGACATTTCCTACAGAATAAATTGTTTGCAGGTTGGGCGGCCTGCTATGGAGCTTGGCAGAGAGCTATAAAAACAAATTATTCTTTCATTTTATACATCATTTGTTCAAACACTGGTAAAAATTGCTTTGTTTTTCTATAATAGAGACGTGTCATTCAGTGGTTAAAAGCACATGAGCTGCCTCAGACACAGACCACAGACTGTTGGCAGAAGTATCTGTGAAGGAGTACCCAGCATTACTCTGTCACACCGCGTGCTCTAAGGACGAAGAATCCTTTCCCCCTTTGCCTGCTGAGTTTGCCACCGAAAATATAAATGACCACAAATCTAGGGTTTTAAAATTTAGAAAATGTCTAAATTTTTTTCATCTTG